CCGTTTCTCTTGCGCACTTCTTAGATCATGCTGTCTGTAGGATTGTCAGCGCGACGGTCACAGTCGTGATCAGTGCCCATGCCTTGCTTCGCAGTCCAAAGCCACGGACAGCAGGACAGCGACGAGCGCACGAGGGCATGTCCAGCCCGAGTGCGACGCGGGTGAGCGCGAACGACGGTTGCAATCGGTCTTGGCCGTCTCTCGTCGCGCGTCTCGTCAATAGCAGCATCCGCATAGCGATCCTCTCACTTGCGTCTCTGTACACTCCGGGCGTCCATACATGTTGACGGCATCTTCAAAGCGAGCAAGGCGATCGAGCGCAAAGACTCCGCCCATGTCGTATAACACGTATAAGCACGAACGACGGTCTGACCATCTCGTACCGCGCACCTCGTCAATTGCTGCATGCACGTAGTCAATCTTTCACCTGCATCTCGGCATCCGCACACATCTCGCGAGGTGGACGACATCCCCGACGTGATCAAGAAGACTGTGCGCAGAGACGGCCCTAGTCGACACGATACCATGAAGGATCGGGCAGCAAGTGGTTAGGAGGGTGCGTTACTCACCGTCGCAAATGTTTTCTGGCACTCCCTGTGTGTCGCGTCAACTCACGGTCCACGGCGCGATCCGTTTGCATGAGCGGCGAACGTAAGACACGGTCTTCGTCTTCTATCGCAGTGGCATGGCCCTGACGCGCGGTCTGGTTTCGGTACGAGGTGGCGCGCTCAATCGTTCAGCATTGACGCATTCAGCGTGGAGGGCTGGTGAAGTACCGTCGATGAGACGGTCGGGTCGTTCGTGAGGCAAGACCTTCCATTTGCATCAAGGAGAGCGGGCTGGTACGGGCGAGGGCGAGTTGGATGGCAGGAGATGAATGTAAAGGGATGACAATGGGAGAGGAGGGCGAGCGGATCGTCGGCGATGAAGGGATTCAATGGCGGATTAGGGTCGCATGGCACAGGGATGTTATCGAGGTGTTGGAGGAGAAGGGGAGGATGATGAGGGAATGTCGAAAGTAGCTGGAAAGGAATGGAATACAGTTCAGTGTGACTGAAACATAAGCGGGCTTACCAGGCTTTGCGAATGAGCTGCAGCATTCGATGTGCCCCTGTAGCCTGTGCTACACCTCTGTGCTCTTGAAAGGGCCATGTCTCCACGATACTGCACAGTCGTATCTCGCCGAGATATATCTGGCAGCCATGGCATATGCGCGTCTTGGACAGTGAGCGCAACGCGTCGGAGAGTGGACAGGTGGCGCACGGATTGGATGGCTTGCAGGGGAACAGAGAGTGCGCGTCAGGACAGGTACGCATGGTGGACACAGGCGGGGGATGAGCGCAAGCGAGTGAGACGATGGGCGCCTGCATATGACGCGAAGTGGGCGCTTCCATCTGGACGGTCACTAGCCTTGACATGCCAGACAGAGATTCTTGATCACTCTCTCACGTACACAATACTGACAGCACACACTACCCCTCCAGTAGTCCCTACAAGATGCCTTCTGTGACCTGTCCTCACCATTCCACCTACCGCCCGGCACGCAAGGCCCCGCCTTCCCAGATCCCCCCGCCGAGTTCCTGCACACCGAAGCCCAGGAGACGCGGGCAGAGCACACCCGCACAAAGATGCTAGAGCTGGGCTACGACCCGAGCAGCTTCTGGGAGCAGCGGATCGTGTGGGGTGACCACGATGCCTTCCAGTCAGTCAACCCCTGACCTGTCCGTTTGTATCATCTGAACACGAGCCATTCAGACACGTAAACAATGTGCGCTACGGTACGTTCGACGCGTATACGAAGCAGCACATCAGCTAATAGGTATCCGGGTCAGTGCGATTCTTGGAGTCATCCCGGATCGAGTGGATGGTCTCCCTAGGCAAAGAAATTGGCGGCGCCTCCCGAGCGGACGACATGCTCGCCGGGCGCGGCATCTCGCTCATCCTCAAGACCATCTCCATCGA